GTTAGTCTTCATTCTTTTGAGTCGGCTGCTCTGATATGTAACACCGGGTAGTTAGACTAGTATAGTCATTCTTTTGTGATACATTGCGATGTATCAGCTGATGTGGTTTTGTAATCTAACTGATATGATGTATTAATCTGGATGACTTATGTGCATTTGAATTAATATTTTGGAACTGCTTAAATGATTTGATCTTCCGCTTACTTTTGAAAATGTTACATATTTTATGGAGCAAAATGTTAAAGTGTTTTATTGGTGAAGTTGTGACATTCTTCTTTTATACCTTATTCTAAAACTTTTACTCTGATGAATTTGTATGTGCTTAATTGTTTTATATGCATTTATTTGGGGTATAGAAGGGGGTGTTACAAACATCGCCACCAAATCTGACAGCACATATGGGCAGAGACCTAATATCCATCAATAACTTCTGAAACCCATGTCATATGTCTAGAACATCAGCTATCAAAGTACCAGTCTTCTCTAGTTGAGGCTCTCAAGGACGTGTGAGCTATAAGGTTAACACCCCTATATTTAACACTTCTCTTTTTGCTAACTTGCTTATCCTTAGAATGAACTGAGGATATTTGATTTCCATACAGTTTATAACAAAAAGGCTTTATATGACCATACTCTCCATAGTAATGACATCTCCAACAAGATTGCTAATTATTTAGAGGTTCATTATGTCTGCCAGAATGTTGTTACATGTGGTTAGGCATTGTGACCATCTTCTTCCTTTCAGAAGGAAAGGGCTTTTCTTCAGACATTCTTCTTGTTTATTATCAGGGTGATAATGAACTTCTGCATCTCCAGAATCTTTTATTAGATCAGCCCTATTTTTCACCCTTCTTAAAGAATATGTCATGTTATTTTGCTTGGAATTTAAGAGGGTTATCTCACTTTGAAGATGAGAGACAACACCTAAGATTTCCTTCTTTTCATTCTCCAATTCAGCTATGGCCTTTTTCTGATTTTCTTGTGTCTTCTGACATTCTTCACACATGTTGCAGGTTTCCTTGTAGAACAATCCAGATCTTCATAGAGATCATTTTTATCACAAGTTTCTACTTCATCAGCCCATCTGCCAAAGAGAGCAGTAATAGGTCCAACAGTCTTTGTGTTGGATTCATCTTCTAAATCATCATCAAAACAAGAAACATTCAACCCCTTTTTCTTCTTCTTGAGATAGTTGGGACATTCTGGCCTAATGTGACCAAAACCTTCACACTCATAACATTGAATCCCTTTACTTTGATCTAACTTCTCTTCAGTGCTGGTAATTCTTGTGAGAATCATCGTTATTCCTGATGTCAGATGTGATGTCCTTGACACTTGCTTCCCAAGTAAAACAATGGTATTTAACAGTCCCTCATCAGTATCCAAGTTAGTTTGACCCTTTTCATCTTCAGCATTGGATACAAAATCAATGTTTTTGTTCTTCTTTTCAAGTCTATCATTCATGGTCAATTCAAAAGTTTGAAGTGACCCCAATAGTTCATCAACTCTCATACTGCTGATGTTTTGGCCTTCTTCAATGGTTGTGACCTTCATGTCAAATTTCTTAGGAAGAGACCTAAGAATCTTCCTCACCAACTTCTTTTTTGATATATTTTCTCCCAAGGCACTAAAGGTATTAGCTATTTCAATAACATTCATGTGAAAGTCATGAATACTCCCATCTCCCCTCATCTTTAGATTTTCAAATTTGGTAGTGAGCAGCTGAAGTCTAGACATCTTTACCTTAGATATGCTTCATGAGTTGTCTTAAGAATTTCCCAAGCAACCTTAGCCACAGTACAGGTGTTAATCAACCTAAACATTCATGTCAACTCCATTGAACAAAGCACTCAAGGCTTTGGAGTTTCTAAGAGAAGACTCATCTTCTTCCTTTGTCCAGTCCTCTTCAGGTTTCAAAGATTCATTCCCATTTTTATCTTTCAACACAGGATGTTCCCAGCCCTTGATGACAGCTTTCCAAGTTTTGCTATCCATGGATTTTAAGAAAGCCACCATGCATGCTTTCCAATAGTCATAGTTGGTTCCATCTAAAATAGGTGGTATATTCACATTATCTTCTCCTTCCTTATCCATAGTGCCAAAACAACAAAATCCCTGGAGCTCACCCAAAAACAGAACAAGGTGATATGCTCTGATGCCAATTGAAATTTTGGCATGCATATACCAGATGTCGAGACAGATTTCATAACACTGGGATCAAAACAGCTTGATCACAAATAAATATGCAGAAACTTAAATGACAAAAAATTAAAATAACACCAGTAGTTGTTAACCCAATTCAGTACAACTCACGTACATCTGGGGGCTAACAAACCAGAAAGGAATTCACTATGATAATATTAGTTCAAAGATAAACTCCCTCGTTTACAACTTCTCGCCTAATCACTACCTTATGCAACTTCTACCTAGACACCCTCTAGATATGAGATCCCCCTCTCATTTCCTAATCAGTCACAAACCAGTGACAATTCAATAAGTATCCAAAATAGAAGTACCAACCCTTCCAAGTACAATACTTTGTTTTTCTTAAAAGCTTTAACCAAGAACAATAACTTCTTGCTTAAAAGCTTTAAAGTGGACAATTAACAATGAACAATCAGTCTACCTCAATGCATCAGAAGATACATGAATGACATACAAACAAAAACATGATAAACACTAAAGATACTCTAAGACATAGCTAATCCTAATTTCCTCCAAAACCCGCGCTTTCTTTAGATTTAGAAACTCCTTTAAATAAGCATCACAGCTGCATGGGCTTGGGATCTTAAAACAAAACTCAAAGCGCCAGGAATCAAGCTTTCAATCGTTAGATACTTTTCTGCACAAAAATAAGAACAAAATACAAAGTTTCCTAAAAAGGCTCAAGGATCCTTTTTATGAAAACTAACACAATCTGTCAAAATAGAAGTTCCCACAATATCCCTCATTGGATAACACAAACATGTGAATTAAAACACACTTAAAAATCACACTAAAAATACCAAAACAGTCATGCCTTAAATTTCTGGTATAACATGTCCTGGCACATGTCACAACATCATACTGAACATGATGTTTGACTAACATGACAAAACATCTGGCTTAACATCTTGCTGGCAGCATGTTTTACCAAAATGTTGTCAATCCAAAAACCACAGAACTTACAGTCGTCATACACACAACAACAAACACCTGCCCAACAACCAACCGCACACCATACCCAACAACAATGTCTACCCACCCGATCCCAACTATCCACCTCACACCATTGACATGCCATACCGAACCATCAAACATCCAAACCTGCAACCCATTAATGCCACCCACCCAAATACAACAACAAGAGCCTGAACCTTACCGCCAACATCCACACACCGACACCACATCTGCCTATAGCCCCGATGACTCATTCGGCTCCACCCAACCCACTATAGTCCCCCACAATTGAACACACAAACATCCCACCACTAAAACATTCAACCACTATTTGACTTACTTACCCAAACTGCCATTGCATCATTTCCAAAACGATTCAATGTACCAATTCGGCCAACCATACGATCTCACCTAACCCAACCACTACGACCCAACTTCAAAAACATGGGCACGAAACTGAATTACGGCAGCAACCTCTCCGGCTATTAGGGGTACAAATGATTGAAAATATGTCAAATACGTCGGGACCATTGCGCCAAATACCTTTTTCGCAGGCCAATACGCAAAGACCATAAATACCTCAACAAAATCGTGGCAGACATTAGAGGCAGGCTAATGCGTCGAAATGTGGAACCGTGAGACGTTTTGATCGGGTGAGACATTGAGTTTTTAATCAATTGTTGTAACCTTTAATGTATATAAATAATAGTTTTATTTGTTTTCTAATTTTTTTCTACATTTTTACCTATTTTTAATTATATTTTCTAAAAAATTATATATATATATATATATATATATATATATATATATATATATATATATATATATATATATATATATATATATATATATATATATATATATATATAATGGAGATCAACTTACTCTAAGAGTAAGTTTTTTTAACTTACTCCACATCATAGCTTTTAAGCTGAATCTAATATAGTGGTTAAATTAATATTTTTACAATCATTCGATTAAATCTAATTTAAAGTCTATAATTGTAGAGTAAGTTATAAAAATTTACTTTTAAAATAAGTGGATCCTGACTTTTATATATATATATATATATATATATATATATATATATATATATATATATATATATATATATATATATATATATATATATATATATATATATATATATATAAATAAATAAAAGGATGTGTCATTTAAAATGACACATGCACTCCAAAGTTATAAGTATACGTCACTTCAAATAGCTATGCATGAATGTTATTTTATGAAGACACTCCAAATCAAATGATGTATCATCTTTATCCCATTCTAAAACTATGTTATTTTACTAAATAACTTGAAAATATTGTTATTTTCGTATTTAAATTGAAAAAAACATGTTATTTAAAAAAAAATCTAATTTGTATAACAAAATTTTAAAAAAATAATAATAATTAAAAATATTATAAAAAATAATATTATTAGAATTTAATTAATATATACAAATAATATAAAAATATTTTACACTATCAATTATTTATAACCTTAAATTTATATATTTGAAGGTTTTTTTAGTTATATTTCATTTAATTTACTATTTATAATTGAATAACATACATGATGATATAAAACTTTTTATTCTCACAATACATATCAATTAATCTCATAATATTATAAGAGTTTATTAGTTATATTGAAAAATAATAAAAGAGATGAAGATAGAATAGACATAAGTCAATGAAGAGTTATTACCCACGCAAGAGGCATGGATACATATAATATTATTATTAGTTTGAAATGAGAAAGACTTGGACATGTGGATAATTTATAAGGATATAGTAATTATTTCTATGAAACCATGGAAGTAATTAAAATTATAGTTAGTAGTAACCAACCTGGTATCTATGATAATGATCAACTGCGATATCTCCGTTACTTCCATCTACTATTATACTTGTATCTGCTAATTACACATTAATCAAAATCTAAACAATTTAAGAATTAAGCATATGTAGTAACATTTAATTACCTCCGTGAGTGAAGTTATCCCAATTACTTTGTCCCTTACCGTCAATGTTATAACCACCTTCATACTGTGTTATAACAAGATTAATTAAGTTTAATTTGGATTAATAAACTATATAGTATTAACTAATACCTGGTAAGAAGAAGAAGCAGTTCCAAACAGAAAGTTTTTAGGGAAGGAAGAGAGATCATCCACAGCACTTGAAAGATGAAGCAGAAGCAACAATATTGACAACCCCATCTTCTTCGTTTGATGGCCTCAATTATTTATTCTTATTTATAAATTATTATAACACACATTTTATTCATATAATTATTATGTTATATAAAAATGAAAACTTTTTTATTTTGTACTCGTTATTAATATATATATATATATATATATATATATATATATATATATATATATATATATATATATATATATATATATATATATATATATATATATATATATATTATTGAACAATTGATATATATTTCATATTTACTTCACTAATAGAAAAAATACTTTATAGCAGAGGTTTTTAAGTCAGTTCATCTGCCACCTGACTTAGGAAGTGATGCGGTGACAATTTCGTAAATATTGACAACTTAGTTAAGTTATAAATGTGTGTGCAAAAATACATACTTATAGATTATTTTAAATGTGTGTGCAAAAATACATAGTTAAAGAAAAATCAATATATTTTAGCATCTTTTAAGTTATTTATGTTTCTATTAATTTTAAATAAATTATTTTTAGGATCGTTATAAATAATTTGAAGGATTTGGTTTAATTTTAAAATGGAACTTTTAATAAAATGAAAAAAGTATATTTTTTTTAAAAATTGTTTTTAATTTACATTTATAATAATTATAATTTCTTTCTTATATTAGAAAAAATAGCATAAAGATATTTTAATAGAAATTTGACTAATTAAAATAAAAATGTTGATGTGTTTTTCTTTCTTTAATGTGTTTCTATTTATAATGAAAAAAAAAACTATATTATTTGGCGAATGGAACACTCTTTAGAGCATCGTTGTAATATCTAACAAAAGCGTTATCAAATATTATTAATGTTCTTAGCTTTTTGTTTGGAAGTATGGAGAAAAAGTTTTGAAAAATGGAAAGTTAAAATGAAAAAAATTGAAAGATTTTGGTTGAAAGGGTTTTTGAGTTTACTTTTATTTAAAATATAATTTCTTTTTAATTTATAAATTTTAAAATTTGTATTGGAGAAAGACTTTAGAAGACTTTAAATAAATTTTTTAAATAAATTTTATTTTATTTTAATATTTTAAAAATTAAAAATCAAAGTCCTCTTTTCTTCTTTGCGTTATTATTTAATTATCAATAGATAAGTTTTTGTATTTTTAATTTTTTAGGAATTTATTTTAATAAATAAGCTAAAAATTCTAAAATTGTCTATTAAAAGGTTGAAACTAGTTAGTTTAACAAAATTATGAATATGCAAAACCACTATATACTAACTATTTTCAGATTTGCTCGATCGCTTTGTTTGGTAAGGAGTATATCATCTTCCGTTTTCAGTTAAGTCTTGTTATGATGGTTTATTGAGGGATTGTGGGTTGTGCGAGTTGGACATTAATCTTAAGACTGTATTAGATTTGGTTTGGCTTTCTAATATGCATAAGAAAATTAAAGTTTTTGGTTGAAGACTTTGCTTGGATAAGATTGCCACTCAATCAAATCTGACTGCCAGAGGAATAATATCGGATCCGCACGACTTAGTTTGTGTTTTTTGCTTTAACTTTCTTGAAGCCTCTGTTCATCTCTTTCTTACTTGCCAGCGTGTTTGTTTAGTTTGAAAAGCAGTTTTTGATTGAATTGGTATAGAAGATTTTGTAGCTTCTAATTGTTGTGATCACTTATTTGAATGGTTTGTGAGGATGGTGGGGAGGACTTCGCGTAAATCGACAGCTACAATTTGGTTATGTACTTGCTGGTGTTTGTGGAAGGCGCGTAACCAAGTTTTGTTTACGATGCATTTTGTGTTGTTGGGGACATATTTTATAGTATAGTGCAATATTTGTGGTGGTGGCTTGGAGTTTCTTCAAAATGTAAATATGCTTGTAATTTTTATGAATGGTTCAAATGCCCCACTGATTATTTGTAGGTTTGGCATCTTAGTTTTGTTTGGTCCCTAATTGTCAAGGCTTGTTGTGTATCTAGTTTGTTGGATTTGGAATACCCTAGAATTCCCATTAATACAACTGCTTATAAAAAAAAGATAATATGTACATCACAATTATTTTTTAGGACCGGACCCTTGCTTAAAGCATCTATAATATGAACAACCTCTGACCCAAGGATGTTTTTATGGGTGATCCATAACCTCCATAATATGCATTCACCCACACATTAAAGCGATCTGTTAGACCTTCTTATAACCTAAGTAAAGAACATTATATAAATGGAAAGCATTAAAAGACAAAGATGATCCACAACTTCATTCAGAAAAGTATATGTAAATATGACTAGAACCTCAATGGAAGGGTTATTAATTGGTGTATCTTGCGTGTACATTTTTTATCTACTGTGGGGATCAATTAAATTGATTCATGCCAAACACTTCTCTTACAACAAAAGCCCGATCTTTTATCATGATAATCAGAGCTGCCACCAGTAGCAACAATTATCGCCACAACGATGATTGTGTCGCCATAGCAGCAACGTTGATGGCTATAGAGGAACTACATCGTCATAATGAGACGTTGCAAGGTAACGTCTGAGACCTTTAAGGGCAACAAATGCATACTGCAATCTACGATCAAGAGGACCTTATGGACCCCTAACCCATGTCGGTGGACATTTGGGATGTGCAAGTCCCAGACAACTTGAAAACTCCTCTGGAAATGCTGAACGACAAGAGTGATCCTCATAAACACATTATTATTATTAATACATAAATGGTCATCATTGAAATTATTGATTACCTCAAATGATAACTGATGACAGGCACGTTGAAGGAGGTAGCCCGTTGTTTCTATATGAGCATCTCTTTAAGCTCTTCGTCACTAGCTACTTGGACTTGGCGATGAAAATTAAACAGAAATTTTTCAGCCAACAAGCATAAATAGGTATCCACTACAAGCCTTTTTAATGTTCATCAAGGGCACTCTAAACAATTACAGGAATACTTAGTCTGCTTCAATGATAAAACCATCAAGGTCGTTCATCCCAACCAAGAGATGTTTGTAGGGGTTTTGAAAGTGGCCTCAAAGCGGAACGCTTCAATGAATCTTTGGCGCATAAGCCATTATCCTAGATTGATGAGATCATAGCCAGGGAGAAATGATATATAAAAGGGGAAGAAATCAATTTCGAGAAGAAAACGAAGGATGCAAGAGAGAAAGGTGTCGAAAAATCAAAATATGGAGGACAGAGACAACACCATAATGCAATACTAATTCGTGATGAAATGCCATATAAGATTGTCCAAAAGCCAATGAAATGCTTCCCTCCTTTAAACACGGTGTGAGAGAGGTTTCTCTAATATTTTTACCATACAAAGCTCATCTTTAATTCATACCCGGCCAAAGGAGACATTATGGGGGGAAAACTCGACAGGTGGTGTAAATACCATAAAATAAGAGGTCATCACACTGATGATTACTATAATTTTAAGTAAGAGATCAAAAAATTGATCCAAATAAGTTTCGTACAAAAGTGAAGGGAGGTACACTGATCTCGGACAGAAGATCCTCACCACTTAAAGAATCTAAGGGGAGGAATCCTAAAATATGAGGGGTTGAAGCATGGAAGAAGGTCACAAACAAGGAAAACACACCATACCTTGAACACTGCATTTATGACACCCAGTACATACATCGTAGCTTTTAAGCTTTACTTTGCATTGACACAATTTTCAATTTCCATAAATATAATAAACAAAAGATAAAAAGGTACTCCCTTACCGTATGGATATACAGTGTAGATGTCAAACCAGTGTAAACATATTATTTCTCTATACAAATACATGATTGGAATGTGAAGAGAGTTTTGATCAATCCTGACAGCTCAAGATGTGCCCTATACTAGGACGTTTACATAGGTTTGAAGATAGACCTTTAGCTTCTTCATACTTTTGAAGGACTTTTAAGAGCAATGGAACGACTTCTCAAACAAGAAGGTGCTGGTCTAGGGTTATGTCACCATTAGAACCACATTTAGAAGAGAGGGGAACGCAAATTTTTTGAAAGTGTGGTACATTGTAGTAAATGCATTGTCCCCGTACAACATCATCATTGGTCGACCAGGTTTCAACTCCTTGGAGGCGGTGTTAATAACCTTATACATAACCATAATATACCTCTTGAGCAACGAGTGAGTGGGTTTAATAAAAGGAAACCAGGAGCTGGCAAGAAAGTATTATCAAGACTATTTAATGTTAAGGAAGAACAGCATTCCCAGATCGGTTCAACCAGACAGTTTGCACAAAGTAAACTTCATAGACCTTGATCCAAGGTTCGGCTCTCTAGAATACAGGTTGGTGCCCATAGAAGACTTGAAGATTGTTCATATAGGATGAAGAAAGATTTAAATACCAATGGTACTTAGATTCAAGCTTCTCATCACACATATAACTGGAATGAAAGATTGGTTTGTCAACATAAGTCCCTCGATGAAGAACAAGGTGAAATTAGCAAATGACAATACAATGGCTGTCAAATTTATTGGTGATGTTCTAATCATGGGAAAAGATGAAAAAGAAGTCAGTAATTTCCAATGATAGGATGAAGAAAGATTCAAGGACCAATGGTACTTAGACTCAAGCTTCTCATCACACATGACTAGAATGAAATATTGGTTTATCAACATAAGTCCCTCGGTGAAGAACAAGGTGAAATTATAAAATGAAATTATTTTGTCCGCCGAATGTATTGGTGATGTTCTAATCACAGAGAAAGATGGAAAAAAGTCAATAATTTTCAATGTAATGTACAAACCAGACATGAAAAGAAATTTTCTCAGCATAAGGCAATTGGTCGAGAAAAATTACAAAGTTTTGATAAAATATAAGATAATGAGAGTTCCTAACTCAGGTGGTAGGTTAATCTTGAAGGCACCCATGTCTCAGAATAAAACCTTCAAGATTGAACTAAATGTGATGCAGCACAAGTGTCTGGCAACTGCACCTAGCAGAGATGAATGGCTATGACACTACAGACTTGGTCACCTCAACTTCAAAGACATCAGAAATCTAAAGAGAAAAAATATGGTTTCAGAATTACC